CTCAGGGACAATTATTTTTCACCTATCTCGGCCCTCACTGGGGTTGTAATAGTGCAATAGTGCCAAATTTCGCACCAAAAGCAAAAATCGCTTTTTGAACTAGTGGCACACTTCTACGTAGTCGGCTTGGAGTAAAGTCATTGTTTTGCTTTAGGGTGAAAGGATTCGTGGTTTGCTTCCCGCTTCATCGAATTAAGCATGTTCTACGACCATAATACTTTTTTGCATATTGGTTTTGCATATACAATAAACTAGGTAGCAAGCCATTCTTTCATCCTCACTCCAAAGAGGATTTCTGGGGATGCCCTTTTACTTTTGAAACGTGCTGTATAATAACGTGGTGGAAGGAGCTGAATGCAGTGATGGAGGAAGTGTCGTTTGAGGGGCAGAACTTCTAGTGTGTGCGCAGTCCTACACTTTTCGCTTCTTTTATAAGCCCTTATTTTCTGTGATTATTGTTTGACATCGTGTACTGACTTTGTCAAAGTTTCAGTGTGCCATCGCTTTGCGGAACCAGTTAGCATCTCTTCCATCAAATAATGCAATGGAGTTTTTGGAAAACGTCCGCAGGGTAAGTAGATAGTTTTCCTCACATATGAAACGAAATTATCCGCTGATGGTTGTCTCTGAGTAGTATTCTCTGGCTTTGATCGTCCCTTATTAGTGTTTTCATAGTTGGTTTTCCAGTCGTTACGATCGCACAGATTAGGGGTGTGGGTACTTAGGACAGAACGCGACATTTTCGCTCTTCGCAACGCGACATCGCGCGGCAGGCTGCGCTCCCGCAGCGAAAACAACTACGGTATGAAGAACGCGCGATTGGAGCGATATTTGTGTGGCTTTGATTGCGACAAGGAATTTGAAGCTTACTAACCATGGACTTGATAGTGAACGAGGAAATGGCCACCAGAAGAGGACCACTAACTAGCAGTGAAGAAAGAGGTAGGTTAATTTTGCAGAGGATGGATGGTAGACCCTGGAAGAGGAGTGGTTGATGGACGTTCGATGAGACTCACGACAAAGGATCAGTTCGTCAGAGTTTGCTATGATATATAGAGTATTACCTAGGCCGATGAGTGTGTAATTACCTCGTTCACCAATAATTTGAAGTGTTCTAGAATTCTAGAATACCACTTTAACGGCATCGCTCGGAATCGTGTAATTCACAAAACATTTCCATTGATGAGAGGTGATTCACCGCATGTCTCAATACAATGAGTGTGAGCGTGGGCAAGCAATAAATCAGAAACTTACAAATTCACGCATGCGAAAAAAGCTGCTCCAATCGCGCGCTTCTTCATACCGTAGTGTTTTCGCTGCGGGAGCGCTAGCCCGCCGCGCGATGTCGCATTGCGAAGCGCGATCTATCCTAAGTACCCACACCCCAGATTAGAAACGTGCCGATCGTCCTGTCGTTGCTGTTACGATCGGACGTATCGGATGATCGGGAGATCCATACGTAT